ATAAATATTAATCTAATAGAAAGTTATAACTAATGAAGAAGTTAACTCCATCTAAAATATGAAAGCAGTGAAGAAACTTCCAAATGGATATTTAGAAGTTGAATATAATAATCAATATTCAATTAATTAAATAAGTGACTAATAAGACTAGAATTAAATTCAGACATTCCAAACAAAATAATGAATTACCCATGTGTCTTATATTATGTGACTTATATTACACATGAATACCATGTGTAATATAAGTCAAAAATCAGTAATCAGAAATGCTGTACTGTGGTAAAATTATGACAAAAATATTTTAGAAATAAAATAATTGAATTCATTTATTTAATCATTTATCATTGTTTGATTAACTTTAATAGCAACTAGAATTCTATAATTTGAAATAAAAATAACAAAAGCTATTTTAATTGTCATGAATATTTTAAAATTTTCTAACAAAATATATTGAATAAACTTAAATTGAATAATAATCTGATTTAAATACCGACATTTGAACAATCAATAATTCAAATTACAAATTTTAAAGGAGATTTAGAAAATCTGGTTTACTAAATAAAAAGTAATGATTCCCAGACACAAAGTACCAAATCTACCAAATATATAATCTACCAAATCATTGCAAGTAACACACAAAACCTAAAGTAGTACTAATGTATAATAAAAGTAGAAATGATATGATAAATAATACATAGCCTATATAAAATAGAAATAAATAATGGTCTGTGTACAGTTTAGTTTCACTTACTGTCAGAATTAGAAAGGTAGCAAACGTACTGGAAGACTTGAAAGGGAATGGTGGTTACATAGGTTGAGTTGTCAGAGGTTGGGGAAGTGGGAGGTACAGAACAATAGGATGTAGAAAAGAGCAGAAGAGGTTATCTATTAACATCTTGTTGTCTAAATCCATCAGGACAGGCAGATCACGAACATCTACATCTTCTATGTTTGTCTGTTTTGATGTTGAAAGTTGAGATTTATTGTTTACTATGGCTAATATAGTATGTTTGAAATACAACAGTATGACTGTTTAGCTTCTCACATTTCTCTGTCATACAGTTCTCTGTAGCTTTTGAAACCTTTGG